CTACAGTCAGTATGTTTTTAAATTTTAACTGCTTGAAAAGTTGCAAATATTTTTACTTTACTGCAAATACCGAGGCTGTCAAGCATGCTTTGATGTGTTATCAGGTTCTTGGTAATATAGCTGCAAATTCTGATGCATGGGCTGCCATTCCCTCCCTCACCAGCAGATTGTGCTCCTTTAGTCAAACCGCTTGCTTGTCATTTGACTCAGTGAATCAACAGTATGCAGGCTTATCATTAGTGTTGTGTTGCTTCTGTTGTTCTTAAGAAATATATAAAATATTGCAATGAAATCCAAACCAAATATCTGAATCATCTTTCAGTCTACAGAAGGCACGTCTGTTGTCCGTTGCCAATTAAGATGTGCACAGGTGTGTAATTAATACAACGACATGCAATCTAAAGGAGCAAGCAAGTTAACTGAGAAAGCCCTGGACTAAAAACTAAACTGCACAGGCCCAATGGAGCCAGATTAGTAGTATTAGTACAGTAAGAAAGAACTTGACAGTTTGATGTGATGTCAGTAAGATGCAAATGATGTAAACCATTATATGCACAATGGTTTCCTGCTTTTGTCATGGAGTTTGAAGACCTCACTAGGTAAGTAAGACATTATGTGTCTGAAGAAAAAAAAATGATGCAGAATTATTAATAGAAGTAGCTCGAAAGGTTGGCTTTAGAAGCAGCTATTGTAGAAAAGAAAGCTCAAGTAAGAATATTGATGGAGAATGAGGCAAGTTACTATGGCTCAAAAATATTTGTTCTGTGAATTTCAATTATAGGAAGAATTAAAGGAAAAAGAACAGAGATGTCATCCCACAGCCAAGATTACATAAATGTTAATAAATTCACAGGATTTAAGGTCAAGACACAGACAAAAACAGTCATGGTATTCTAGAAAAGTATGATCAATAGAAACAGGCTTAGCTGCCTGTTAGAGATGTTTCAGTTTTCATGGGGGAGCTACTACAGATCCTTTATGGGAGCTTTTGAAAAAACCATTGAGCAGAGTACTGAAAATGCAACTGCAGGAGAAACATAATCCCTTATTTGCAATTAAGAATACATGACACTAAACAGAGCATTCAAGGAAACACAGTGACTGTTTCAGAAGCATTATGGAGATCAGGTAACAATTATTAGCACTTATACTGATTAAGCCCTGAAAAACTCAGAAGATGGTGTGTTTATTCTGACTTGTTGTTGTAACACAATAGAAGACGTGAAATTTAAAGAGGGAACGCATAACCATAGAAACATGACAATAGTGCCATACAAAAGGAGGAAAACGTACCACAAACAGCATTAGAAAATCAAAGAACACAGACAGTGCAGAGCAAGTTTGGCTGACTGTGCTGTCTTTGTGGTGAAGACTCTCCTAGGCTGCGTGGAGTACAGACCTGTGCAAAATGAAAGCATAAATTCTACAGATAAGACATCTCATTACCGAGACAACCCAATCTCAATGTGGAAACAAAACAGCTGCTGGTAAATCGGTAGGCCTACAAAACACAGTCATTGTCATGACGAGGAAGCAATGTCTCAGGAAGACAGGTAGTTTATGCTGTCAGTATGTTGATCGTGTTACATTTCTACTGCTGAGAAATGTAACACTAAAAATTCCAGACTGAGTAAAGAGCTGCCAGTTTGACAAGAGAACTGATTAAAAGAAATCTTTCTTAAACACCGCAAAGCTGTTATGTGGAGCCAGTTTGAAGAAAAAATAAATAAATGTGTTAAAGTTCCTTAAGCACAGCTTAACCATAACGTTTGATATATCCCACCCCATGCTGTGCAACACCTGAATAAAAACAAAAACCGTTTTTTGTTAGAGTGCACAGCATCATTTCAGGATGAGTCACTGAATGCTATTGGTATTGATGACAGGGACCTGTGCTCACCAATACACTCACTGTTGTCTCGGTGAGGTTTGGAAAGAGGCTTTAGCACACTCGATTATTGTTTTATCAGTTGAGAGTTTGGGAAGAAGCTTCCAACTTATTTACATTTTTGCATGGTCATGAGCCCAGTATGCCACCAGGAACCTTCAACAACAACAGTCAATATAAGCCCAAATACTTTAAGTCATTGTAATCCTGAAGATGTGGTGCTAATATTAAGCTTTCATCCCCTGGAAGTGTGTGGATATTGAGAGGAATAGTTCAGACCATCCCAGACTCATCTGGTACACAGAGTGAAGCTGCAGACCGACAGTATCTTGGAGAGATCTATAAATAAATGGTGTTTGTTGCTAGAAGCAGGGTTAACACAAGATCTAATGATGATAAGATGTAGACAACAGAAACTGATTACTTATTGTATTAATCTTATTAAAGGATTGTTTTACATCGATGGCTCTTAGCATTTAGCTTGTGTAATGGCTTCCTGTTTAACCATTAGGGTCAGAAATGTAAGAGACACAGTGTGAGAAGTTGATTTAATTTGAATTTTGTTAATTTTTTATTCTTCATTTCTAATTCTTGCAAGACAAAATTAAGATGTAAAAAAAGATGAATTCATATTCTATGTTGCCGAAAGTATTTGCTTGTCTGTTAACATGATGTTGACCCACTCTTTACAAATGTAATAGCTTCATCTCTACTGGGAAGGTTTATGATTGTGTGTATGGAAATTTTTGACCTCTCTTCCATAAGTGCATTTGTGAGGTCAGACACTGATGTTGGACAGGAAGGCCTGGCTTACATTCTCTTCGCTAATTCATCCCAAAGGTGTTCTATCTATAGGCCAGGACTCTGTGCAGGCCACTCAAGTTGTTCCAGACCAAAGTCACTTATCAATGTCTTTATGGACCTTGCTTTGTGTAGAGGTGCAGAGTCATCTTTAAATAATAAGGGGGCAACTCCAAACTGTTCTCACAAAGTCGGGAGCATGAAATTGTTCAAAATGTCTCGGTATGCTGAAGGATTAGGAGTTCCTTTAACTGGAAATAAGGGACTGATCACAGCCCTACACCATAATCACCCCTCCACTAAACTTTACATTTGTCACAATGAAGTCAGACAAGTACCGTTCTCCTGGCAACCGCCAACGCAGACTCATCCATCAGACTGCCAGATGGAGACGTGTGATGTCCGTTGCTCTAGAGTCCACTGGCGGTGTGCTTTTCACCACTGCGTCAGCTCTCTGTGCACTGAGCTATTCTGAAGGCCACATGAAGTCTGGAGGTCTGTGGCGACTGACTCTGCAGAAAGTTGGCGACCTCGTCACATTGTGCGCCTCAGCATCCACTGACATTGTTCTGTCTTTTAACTTGGTCTACCACTTCATGTCTTTGTTGCTGTTGTTCTCAATCACTTCCACTTGTTTATAATACTACAAACAGTTTACTGTAGAAGCAAGGAAATTTTACTATTTAAATTGTTGGCGTCATGCCTAGATGCTTGATTTTATACATCTGTAGGCATGGAAGTGATCAGAATACCTGAATTCAGTGGCCATTTGCAGCAAGGCAACAGAGCCACATTAGGCACAAGAGGGTAGAGTTTTTGAAGTGTTTCACATAATATAACTTGATAATTCGAAAGTAGACATCTTTGAAATGAATTGCATCTCCTTTCATCTGCATCATGCTCAAGTTACTGTGCTCACAGCTCATTAGTGGCTTGCCACAGTTCACTAAGTTGACAGATGCTCTACAACATTCAACTCCATTTGTATCTTGGGTGATTCAGCCCACCCAAAATGCTGCAGGGTGGAAGAACAGTAAAAGAAAATCATATGGTTGGGTCTGCTCTATGGGATTTGAACTCTTTTTGGGAAGTATTTGTTCAGAAACTAGTTTATTTGGTGACAGCAAACCCAGCTGGCAGGAGAGTTCATGTTTTTCAGTTTTTCTTCAGGTTTGCGTAATTTGTGAGTTCATGTCACTTTGACTTGAGTTGTAATCTTATCTGCTTTGAACAGCTGAGGCATGTTATCAAGATGTACTATAATGGATTCAGAGAAGTGTAGAGCATTACTATCTAACATACGAGCTAATGAGAAGGGTAAAGGTTTCTTTATCAATGCTTGGGGATGTGTTTCTTAATCAGATGCCTCCAGTGTGGTAATCAGATGAGATTTGTTTCCATCATCTTTCTATGCTGCAGCTGTAGACACTGAGTATTGAGTACCAGATCATCAGTGACATAGTAGCTCACCTGGCTCACGATACAGTACAGGTTACTGTACTGTGTGAAGTACAGAAACCTTTTCTTGTCATTGGTTGGTTGGATCCTTGAGAAGTGAAGAAATGAATGAAAGCGTTTGAGTTCAGAACTATTTTAAGCTGTAACCATGGCTATAAAAACCAGGAAAACATGTGAAGACGTCAGCAAGTCATAGCATTGATCATATTACTGTTATTAGCGTCATGGCGACAGGGAGATCCCAAACATGCCTTTATAATGAGGGAGTCAACCAGTAGGACCACTCCCTTCCTGTTCATGACCAATAAGATGATCATTATCACCATAAAACTAAATACAAGTTGTAGGTGATATATTTCAAGATATTTCATCATTTGAAAAATATGTCGTTTCCGTATCATTTTGTGCATGCAAAATTCCTCACACATGTAGCCTGCTAGCATTTAGCACAAAGCTATGCTGCATCTATGTATGCTATTACGCTTTTAAAGATATTCTACAAATGTAGAATTAAAATTGAAATGAAAATGCTAATCAGATCAGTTCTTATTAGGGAAACGAGCAGTAATGTGTCCCAGCTAAACCTAAAATCTTAACAGCAAAGAAAAGAAGTTGCATGAAATATTCCAGTATCCCAATATCCCAGTGAGCCATGTATATGTACAGTATGTGTCTGCAATTTTTGACAATATTCAAAGATTAATAACACTAAACAATATGAAACAAGCAGTGACTCCTGAGTCAGGCAAAGCAGATCTTTGAGTGACAGATCACTAATGCAGTGTGGTGATCTTTCACTATGTTTATTCCCTTGTTATAACATTCCCTATATAAACAAGAACAGAAAACTTTAGAGAGTTTTTAGTTTGATTTATTGGTCTCAGTGAAATTATTCATGTGGTATTGCAGTGTAATGGTTTCTCTATAGAAAGAGCACAGCATGTTACAAAGCAGTTACATTCATTTAAAGTAGTTTCACAAACGATAACAAACAGTTTACAAAGGTTTTGTAGTTTATATAAATGATTGTGTCTAATCATTCAGATAGTTTTCTTTTACATCTGGTGATGCTAATGCTAATAATAAGTCACAGGTAGGTTTTAGAGCTGTGTTATCATCACATTGCTGCTGATCAAGATACTGTTAAGGCAACTTAGGAAAACCCCATCATCTATAAACCAAACAAAGACTTTGTTACAACAATAAGAGGGATCTTTCCCACAGCATTGACTCAAACAGATACAGTCGATTTTTGTTGAAAAAGAGAAAAACACTTTTTTTACACCAGTGGAGGAAAATACAGTCTTTCATTTATGGAGATATGCATCGAGCCAGAGGTCCCCTGAGGTTTTCAGTGACCTGAATGAGGAAGTCAGAACAAAAAATAGCCAGCCCATCAGTGTGTGTGTCAGGTAAGCAGTCCTTCCATAAAAGAAGACTGAGTCATATACTGTATTTACAGCCATTTTCATGCTCTGTTATCATTGTACTTACGTGACAATATCAGCGAAGCCTCGCCACAAAGTTTTTTCTTGGTACGGAATCCCGTGTTTTTCGCAGAGCTCACGGACCTGTGGGGCCACCAGGTGGTAGTTGTGCCGCGGCATCATTGGAAACAAGCTTGCAAAAGAAAAGAAACGGAAGCTGATTTTTTTGTAATTGTTGCATTGTGGCATATTTTGTTACATAAAATCATTGTAACATATAAGTGTGCAAACAGTGAGTGTAGTTCTGCAAGAAAAAAAATTCTGTTTGAAAAAATGGGCGATAGCTCACTATGGATGGGTGTAAAATCCGAATAGTGTTCACCACTGGTTAAGTGGTGTAGCTTGAGTTTAATGTGTGCCTGTGACCATGCCTGATGAATTACATCTCTCAGTCTTCTGACTATTCTTTAAAACTCTTTTTTTATAATAGAGACTTTATATCTTTAAATGCAGAATTAATGTTGTTAAATTATTATCAGTACTTCAGTTTACACAGTCGTGCTCTAGTTTTTGACAGGTTTCAAATTTCACTTACTGGTGCTCGATTTGAAAGTTGAGGTGTCCACTGAACCAGTCGTTGAAGAAGGACTGCTCAATATTACAGGTGGATTGTAACTGAATGACAGAATGAGTCAAAAGAGTGCAAATGAGTTAATAAGGTCCTAGTAAATATAAGGGAAGGTGTAAACAGATGTTTGTGATCTGGGATGTTCATGAGTATTGGGTAAATGCAGAAAATATTTAAAGTGTCCAAAACTTTTATACAACCTTGTAAAAGTGATACAGGTACCTGCATGGTCAGCCAGTCCTTGTGCTTTTCATGATCGATGTCCATCGGTATGTGATTCATCTGAGTCACCCACACAAACCAGTGACTCTCCAAAAACCTGTAACATTAAAAACAATATCATATTGAGGTGATACATAACGTGGCCAAAGGGTACAAAAAATGGAATCACTTTCTATTGCAGTGTACTTTATTAGGTATACAGCGGTCAAATATGTTAAGTTTAATGTTTGCTAATAAAGTCAGGCTTTTCCACACACATTCCAGCAATATAGAGCAAAATATGGTGCATCTCAGCTCAAGGACAATATATTTTGAAAGGAATGGACAATATAAGGCATCAAAGTCTGTTAACTGGTAACAATTCATTTGTTAATGAGTGCAATGTTTTCTTATTTTAAATAGTTACCTGACTATGCTTATGAGCACCAATGAGCCAACTAGGCCATACAGGGGTATATAAGAGGAGAAGAAGCGAAGGTAGAATGAGATGAACCAAGCCAGATCCTTCACAAGACAAGAAAGTTTATATGATTTATGTAATTTCTTTTTTAATTATGACAATCATGATTAATTATAATCTTATTTTTACATATGCTCTATTCTGTGCCATTTTTTTTTTTTGCTGTAATGTTTCTCTTAAATACTGTAATATCAAATACAAAATTCAATCTGACACATCAAATGGAAAATGCCTATATGCAATCTAATATACTACACCCAGTCAGTATATTATTATATACACCTACCACCAAGTCACGCCGGGATACCATGGTCTGCATTACATGAATGTTGAAGAAAACTGGAATGATCAGCGGTGGTCCCACTATATTTAAATATATATATATAAATATATAAAAAAGGTGCAACGTTAAAAAGTTGTAGTTATTATTCTTTTTAAATGACTCTTAAAAAACATACCAAGAAAGAAGTACTTGTGTTGACGATTGTAAGGCATGTGTTTGATCTTCTTTATCCCGTACTGTAACACAGAGGTAAACAGTGGATGATGACGAGTTGGACCGTGCGAGTGCTTAAAAACATAAGAAATACTATCTTCGTGCTACTTGCTTCCACTGGTTGAGTTCGGCCAAGTACGAAGAGGTGCAACGTGTTGATATCCGGGTCCTTAATGAAGATGTTGGGTTTAGCGTGATGCCTGAAATGTCGGTGATTCCACCAGTTGGAAGAAGCTCCCTGAAAAAAGAAAAAAAAAACCTTTAAGTATCTGTGTTTCATTTCAATGGAGAGAGGATTATAACTAAGAGAGGTTACCTTTAAATGACCAATGACAAACTTGTGGGCGAGGTGATTCCAGCTGGACTTTTTGAAGACAGACAGGTGACCGAAGTCATGCTGCAGCCATCCAGCCTGTGCCTGGAGAAGAAGCAGAAAAACAAATGTTTTGGGTGAAAGACTTCTCTTTAAATGGACCTGATTTCCAACACCATGTATTTGTATGCATGACTAACTGTTTGTCTTTTATCAGTCCTGTGTTTCTGCATCTCAGTTCATACTTTTATTTATTTATTTATTTAAAATCACAATTATTTATGCTCCCTTTAATATGAATGGTTAGCTTTTGTAAACAGAAGATTTGCACAGTCTGTGGGAGGGGCTTCTGTCCTGACAGCCAGAGCAGTGTCAGTGATGAACATATTAGGAATACCTTCCATCACTGGCATTGTAAAGGGGCAAGAACAGAAACTGAAACTGTGCATTGAGAGCAGTCTGAAGGTTTTTGGCTCACTTTTACACATTTATTATTATTGATATCCATTATTTAAAACTTTGTCTCTGTTTAATGTAACCATGCACTTGGTGTATGCATATATTTCAAAACATAAGGAAAGCATAATAAGGCCCATTTAAAATTTATGTCTGAATCACCTGAGCGGTTGCGAGAAACACAGAGCACACAAGTGTTTGTATCCAGCCTGTGCCCCACATCCAGACGGTCAGCCATCCGAGGGCTTCTAGCAGCAGGATGTGACTGAGGTGGAGGAAGAAAAACAAAGGCTGAGCTCGAAACAGACCCCTTTTCTCCACCCGAGCTCGTAATGCTTCAAAATCCTGCACGATGGCTGCCTGGGTGCAGAGAAAAACAAACAACTCTGTAAAACTGAAACTGTAATATATTGATGTGATACTTCTGAAATCAAGAATTTTGGATTTGAGCTATTTTAGGTTTTCATACAGTGAAACAAGACATTAAGGTGGCTAAAAAAACCCCACCTAGAATCTCAGATGTTCCCAACACTCAGCACTTCATAACTAACATAAGAGATCAGTGAATTATCAAACTTACGTCTGTCTCTCATTTATTACACTAGATCACTCACATGTTGTCAATAAAAAAAAGGGACTTTGATTAAAGGCTCACATTTTTGTCTCGGTCCTGGCTCGGCTCAGTCGTTGCCAACTCTCCGATCAGCAGTGGCTTCAGAAACTTTTGCACAAACTTAGGATCAGGATGAAAAGCAGTGAATGCTTCCTAAAAACAAACACAACAAAAAATTGTAATTTACTAAAAAGTTAGGTAGCAGTGGAAATAGTTATCAGATTGTAAAAAAAATAAATCATGCATTCACTTCAGCTAAATTCTAACATGTAAAAATGCTAAAAGTAAAATGATGTTCCCTGTAAGTTTCAGTTGCCTGTGAAACCATGACATTACATTGTTTATCATAATTCAGCTGCCTGAAAGCAGCGTTTCAGTGCTGTAGCTGGTTCTGCTACACCTACTCATGTTCTTTCATCCATATTATCGAGCTTTCTGCTATTTTTATTCTGGAACAGTTATTTAGGTATACTGAAACCTCAGAGGGGAAATCTCTTTCTGTTAGAGCTGCAAGGAACTTAGAGACATGTTAGGAGTTGTGGGAAGCCCAGGTGTCATTCACAGACTGGCATAAACTTTACTTTTGATTGGAATGGCAACACAAATCTTAAACAAATATAAATGAATTAACGCTCATGATGATAGTTTCATGTGATCTCTTTCAAAATAAAATCATATGAACATAAATGCACAGGCCTGTATATTTTCATTGTATTTTGAAGGAAACATGACATACCGTGGCATCCTCTCCAGCATAGTAGCTGATGACTTGAAACCCTCCCGGATGCCTTTTGGCCCACTGAGTGATGTTGTAAACCTTTCGATCGATGACCAGCCATTGATCATTCCTGCTGCAGTGGCTCTGCACCTCCTCCCAGGTGTAAACACCTTTAGCTTTCCCGCTGTCCGGCTCTCCTGGCACCGTCTGCTGGCTTCCACCTCCCATCCTTACCGCTGCTTCTGGTCTGAATGCACCTGAGCTCTAACGGGTCACAAAGTTGCACACCTGTTTTCACACAAAAAATGCACAAAATTTCCATGTAACTACATACAGGCAACGTAAACCATTAAATTTAATGGAATCTGGGCAAAAAATTGCTTGGTATGCGTTCAGTACCAACTCTGTTCCTTAATCATTGGTTATTTGAATAAATAAACCTTTGATTTTAGAAGTTTCAGCTGCATCTTACTCACAATCATTGCTTCATGTTTACTGAAGGTGAAGAAACCTTTTTTCAGTGTGAGTGTAAAAAATGGCTTTCAAATGGTTTGAAATGTGCAGAGAGAAAAACTCGTACGGCAGATTTTTCTATGCTGTTTGAGCTGGTTGTGGTCCAGATCTAAAACAAAGAGAAGTGCAACATCACCCACTACTATGGGGAAACTAGTGAAGCTAGGAAACCACCAAATGGAGCTAAATCAGGTCGGTTTTCACCTACTAACTTTATCGACATTAAAGATCAATCTAACAGACGCACACCCACAAATACTTAAAAACAGGAAAAACATCGACGCACACAAGTACGTTTTCCACACGAATGCGTGGACTGGGAGAAGTCTGATCGTCGTTAACGTGTAGAAACCAAGACAAAACCGACAAACCGCCATCGAAAAGCATTTAATGACTAAATAATAGCGGGAGATAGCGGGTGGTTAGCTATGCACGTCACAGCATGTAGATAATTAATATTTACTTACAGCATCCAGATTTTAACCAGCGTCCCTCAGGCACACTAATAAGAGATCGATTCTGAGGGTTCGGGTCCTTTTTATATAACAAGCATCCACAAACCCATCCCCATGCTTACCTTGTAGGCTCATTGTCACATCCACGCACTCATTCGGTACAAACTCCGAGCAGAATCATTCGAGGCGTCTGGGCCAATCGGCGCACAGCATTCTCTCGTCTGGCGGCGAGAGTACCATAGGTCATAAACCATCTGAACAGCGCAAAGTCGTGTGATCGCAGAGACCGCAAACAGTCCCCTGGAGGACTTTAACTGTGGACTCATGAGTCCGATTGGTTGTAGATGTGGAGCTGCTTCTGATTTATGTAGCGGACTAAATACACAGCTACACAGCAGGTCTTTAAGGGGTCCTCTCAACCCTGCTCCCTTTTTGTTGTTACTTTCCATCCTCCCTAAATGCTTTACATGGAAACTGGGCTGTAGTTTGCTTCGAAGAGTCTAATTCAGGTGTGTCAAACATAAGGTCCGGGGACCATAATCGAAAGACTCCAATCTAGTCCACTGGATAGCTTTGAAGGACAACTACATTTTTAAATACATTTCAACTCCCCCCCCCCCCCCCCCCCCTATATACTACTATATTTTTTTTTTCAGTGATCCACTGTAAGTATAAATATTAATAATATCAATTAAAAAACTTTGTAAGACTGTGCTTTAATCCAGCTTTCTATTTTATGATAACGGGACAGTCAGGGCAATGAGCTACTTTTTCTGTAATTTGACACATTTCTTACAATTTAAACCCAAAGAGTTCTTTATTAGCTAAACCGCTGTTTCTTTATCATGTAGAAAAACTGAGACATTCTGTTAAAATTGCACTTTTTCCCTTATATTAAGATATTTTAGTGATTCAAGTTGTAATTCAGTTTCTTTTCACTGACAGATGACAGCACTTTTACTGGTCTGGCCCACTTAAGATCAATGTAGGCTGTATGTGACTCACAATTTAACATCCCTGGTCTCTCAGATTGTCATAATAATTGTGCTGGCAGAAAGTTTCCATGTTTAAGGCTATCTTTATTTAGTGTGACCCTTTGACACTGAAAAACAAAATGTCAGTGATAACAGTTTCCTTGTTAAATAATCACTGGAGGGGGTGCTGCAAAATAAGACAACAACTTGTACTACTAGCCTAATTCCCTCAAAGTTGGGATGCTATGTAAAATGCAAATAAAATAGAACATAATTATTTGCAAATCTCATAAACCCATATTGTATTCACAGAAATGACAAATAAAACAGGGACAAAAATGAAGTTTTTGTTAAAACTTTCATATGCTTTTTCAAAGCATGCCATTTCTAAACACATCAGTTTTCTTTAGAAAGAAATACAATAACAGAATTATTTCCGAAAAAACAAAAAATGATTAGGGTCAATTTAAATGTATAATTAACCTTTTTATTGAGCCATGGCACCGTGGCGCTGTGCAGTGATGTCCTTTAACTTTCTAATGCTCATAGTGTGTAAAATCTAGTTAAAACTGAAAGTTACCTGCCAGTTTACACACAGTATAAAAACTTTAGCAAGAGTTTGAGCTGTCACTTGAGAAAGATCATGCCAAAAACAAAGAAATTACTTAAGTCATTTCTTTATGATAGACTTGGATATCAATACACCTACCTCCTGGAGAGTGTTGTTCACTTGCTTGGCTATTGTGAAGGGCTAGAAATGATTCTGTGATCATCCATCATCCACCACTGTTGTCTTCTGTGGATGTCCAGGTCTTTTTGTATTGCTGAGTTCACCAGTGCTTTCTGTCTTTCTCAGGATATAGCAAACAGATTTTGCCACTCCTAATATTTTAGCAATTTCTCAGAAGAGTTTTTTTCTGTCTTCACAGCTTAAGGATGGCTTGTTTCACCTGCATGAAGAGCTCCTTTGACTGCATGTTATCTGTTCACAGTAAAGAAAATCTTCCAAATGCAAGCACCATACCTCAGATCAACTCCAGGCCTTTTATTTGCTTAATTGACAATGACATAACAAAGGAATTGCCCAGACCTGCCCATGAAATAGACTTTGAGTCCAAATACTTTTGGTCCCTTTAAAAAGAGATTGGCACATGTTAAGGAGCTGAAACTCCTAAACCCTTCATTCAATTTAAATGTGGATACCTACAAAGTAAGCACTACAGTAAACACAAAAATGGTTGCCTGATGTCATTCTGTTTTTAGACTTGAACTGTTTGCATCATCAAATCACACATATTTTCCTTTACTGTAAATAAGCACAATGATGCTGTATCAGCTGCAATTTTCTCCTTCACCAGCAGATAGTGCAAATATGCTCCTTTAATGAAATTGCTTCCTTGTTCTCTTTTAACCTCAAGTTGCAAAAGCATGAAGGCCTCTCATTGCAGTCCTGTTTTGCTTCTTGTGTTTTCCAGAAACATTTATGAAATATATATAAATATTAAATACTTAATAATTATTGATTTTCCATTAGACCACCATGAAAAAATGATCATTAATAACTGTTTAGAGTTACTTTTCCTTTACCCTGTCCCTGTGTTTGTTATGTGTGTGTTCGTCCATGGTAGTGAAGTCATGCAGTGCTTCATCTGCATTCAACACTTTCACCTCAACAGTCACATCTATTCACTGCCTGAGGTCTCAGTCTTTTATGTCCCCTGCTTACAGTTCACTGTGTCATTTCAGGGTCATTTTAATGCTATATAGAAATTTGCTAATCAGCTCTTTTGGTTCTCAGCATATCAGACAGGATTATCCTCAAGCAGCACGCCGCCTGTCTCCCTGTTTGTCCGCTTCTTCTGCCATAGCTTATCAAGCTGACAGAAGCCCTGCACATCTGACCCCAGCATCTTTTACAGACTTTTCCTCAGTATCACAACCAACAGCATAGACTGTCAATCAGAAAACCTGCATGCTGTTATTACGTTTTTTGATGAATTTGGGCTAAAGGTTAACTTTCATTTTGGTCCCTCAAATGAAAGGTGGGGGTATTTTCCTCAGAAAAGAGTGAGAGACTTTTTACTTTGGCATCACTACACTTTTCATCCCATCAGTTACATTATCTCATATCTGAATATTTCTTTGGAGATTTACATTCAAATGACACATAAGATTCATTCAAAGCAACATTTGGGTCAGAATAGGTTGCAACCCATCAACAGATATGTAAGTGTAAAGAAGAAATATTAGAACCTAAAGATGTCTCTAAAAACCTTTGCTGCCAAGTATTGAGTCTGTTTTTCAAAAACAAAACAAAAAGGTAAGTAATTTGGGATGAAATGCTCAGTAAAGTATCAATAGTAAGATAGAAAGTATCATGTTCTTGTTGATAGTAGCATGTGATCATTATTGCATTATGTGAATGCTGTAATCTCCTCAGTACAAATTCAGTATAGTCAGTATAAACAGCATTGCAAATTTTAAGCTACGCGAGATGAAGTTATATGGTCAGATTCATTAAAAATACAGTGTCGGATTGGTTCATCTTGAACCTTCATTATTTTAGGATGTTTTTCTTTCAGTGTTTCTTTCAGATTAAAGTATAATGTTAAGGTTGAACTGAATTCTGAATTAGTTTAGTACAGAAAAACAAATGGCTGAAAACGCTACAATAGTCTCAGTAATATCCTGTAATACTGTGGGGTAAACTATGAGAAACAGAGAATAGTTCTGTACTGGACAAAGTTAGTCTTTTCTGGAACTGTTGTTGCCCTTTTAGTTAAAACTGCTCTGGGCTCACCCAAATGTTGGAGCTATTTTGAGCGGCGGTGTAGGAATATTTTTCAGTCGTGTCACATTCATTTCAATCTGAGCTGCACTTTAGTCCACTGTATCTGTGTCACGTAGAGAAAAATTAAAACCCTGTAAAGCTTTGAGTTGTTTATTGGCATTTGCTGAGACTTTTCCTGCACTAAATTATTCCACCGATCGTTTTGCTAAATAAAAAAAAGGCATCTGAATAATTAACAAAACAAAACTGAAATATGAAGTGCGGAAAATCTTTAATCAGGAGGGTTTTTTGTTTGGTTGTTTTCTTTTTTCTGGAATTCAGAGTATTGATCACTGAAACATTTTCAGAAGCAATCTGAAAATGTAGTGTAACAAAGTGAAATCAAAGGTTGACTGTAGGGTGATTAGCCCTCACAGCAATAAGGTTCAAATCCAGTCTGGGACGTTTCTGAGTGTGCGTGGGTTCTGTCCGGGCAATCCAGCTTTGTCCCACAGTCCAAAAACAAGCATGTTAGATTAATTGATGATTCTGGATTAACCCCTGGAATTTCTCTCTGACTTTTGATTCATGGTTGGACAACATCAGGAAACAGGAAGTGTGACAACATCACTTAAACCAAAAAGGCTTAATGATCTGTAAGACTGGATCCAAAGGGTGGCTACAGGCAACCTACTGGCCATCAGAGGACGGTGCACATATTTACAGAACTGAAGCAAATGGATGGATGGAATTTTTACATAAAACATTTGACAATTAAACTATATGAGCCATAATATGAAGCAACAACAGTAAAAGAGAATTATTTTAGCAATCGTTGCAGAGTTGTTTGTTCACTTTAGGTTTGCATATAAAACCATACTATATGAGAATCTCATATTGTACTTGGGAGTCCTATTGCATAAGAATGTGAGTGACCAAAGACTACTTGGTTTGCAGTGATTTGGTTAGGAGAAAAACCATAACGGCAAGTCTTGAGTTTTGTGCTCTGTCAAACAATTTTATAGGTCTCAGCGGGTCACCTACAAAAATGAGTAAAACCAAAATTAAGTAGACCATTGTGGACAGTGAGCCTCATCTCCATCATCAAACATACATATAGCCGTACATAAAGATTTATAGTAGCTACAAACGGCAAAACCACAAATGTATTTATTTGTTTTGAAAGGCTGTTTCTCGTTTCGTATGGATTTATAGTAACAACTTTTTACGAGGAAAAGTAATAAACTGTAACGCTTGCGATTATGTGTGCTCTGTGTCACTCTGTGGCAGGACTAATACTCCAGACACAAAATGAATCTAAAAACTATTAATTGCAATTAAAAAGTGGCGCTGGCGGTTAATACATGTGCGAATGTGTAAATATAAGCGTAGGTAAGCCTGCGAATTTGCTTGTCGTCTGTGCAGATGAACATAAATATCAGGATAATGTTTATCACTATTAATATTCTTTTTTGTTTATCGTTTGATCAAACCCTCACACCTAAAAATTTGTTTGTGGGAAAAAGTTGTTTTTAAAGTTGCTTCTTTTTTAAAATATATTTATTTCTAAGAGGCTACTTCTATCATACCGGCGCACGCGCGCGCACACACACGCACTCACACGAGGACACACTGGCCATGTGACGTGAATGCCCCCTGTTCCTGTTACAGAAGGAGGGAGGCAGCAGTTGAATGTAAACCTTCACACTGATGGAGAGAAGCGGCCAACATCAGGAGTTGAGGGGCGTCAGTGAGCGCTGTTCTTTTCCAGTATGTGCAGGTTTTTTTGTTTTTCCTCGGGCGCGGATTATTACTCCGGGAAACCTCGGCCTCTAATGGGGAGCAGCTGCGTTAACTAGTGAACAGACTTCCATTAGCTGTTTTTCTTTGCCGCCAGCCAGGTCACTGAGTGCGCACACACTGTGGGTTTATCCGCAGGAAGAGGGGAGGTAGGCTCCCTGTTTAGTGGCACTTTTTTTCTCCTCTTCTAATAGAGAAACCGGATCACGTGAACAGGTGGCGTTATCTTTCCCTTAAAAGCCCCGAGGAAGTTAGAGAGGAGAGAAGAGGGTAAGGACTGCAAGAATTCAATTTCAGCTCAAAATTCAGCTGGATTTTGTTGAACTCAACTATCAACAACACCTTTACTATTACTATTATTACTATTACTACTACTACTACTACTACTATTACTACTATTATTATCATTACTATTACTCTGCAGTTTGTTAGATCTTTTCCGCTACTGTTTTGTGATGAAGCTGTAGATGAAGGGACAACGAGACACTTGACAAACTGCTTTGGTATGGCTGCCGGAGTGTTAACTGGCCCGGGCCAGGATGTGGTTTGCAGCCAGTGGGTACAACCACAAAACAGCAGCAGCTCCCAGGCTCAGGGTTGACTTGTCACAGACACTCCCTCATCAAATGACTCTGTCTTGACTCACACAGGAGTCACAAAGGTGCTGCAGGCAACAGCATGGGCAACTCGTCCAGGAAGGGAGGGGGAGAAGAAGAGGAGGAAGAGGGGGGGAAAGATGGCGAAGAGGCAGAATTTTCCGAGAAGGAGAAGGAAGTAGTGCAGGAAGTAGAGGAGGAACTTCCGCTTGGAGTGGAGGAGTTGCTGGAGAGTGGAGACCCCGTGTTGGACTTGAGCTACCGTAAATTTAAGCGTTTGCCTTCACGTGTTTGTGACCTGATGCATCTGGAGAAGCTTTATGTTTGTGGAAACAGCCTGCGCACCCTGCCCGACAGCATCTCCCAGCTGCAGGGTCTGCGGATACTTGCCCTCGACTTCAACAAAATAGAAGATGTTCCTCTGGCCGTCTGCGACCTCACTAACCTAACCCGTCTCTATTTGGGCAGCAACCGCCTAATGAGCTTTCCACCTGAGCTGAGCAACCTGCAGAATCTGCGGTGCTTGTGGATGGAGAGCAACTACTTCCAGAGATTCCCACGAGTGCTCTATGACTTACCCAACCTCAAGTCCCTGCAGATGGGGGACAACCGCCTGAAGACTCTGCCTCCTGACTTGTGGCGCATGGAGGCTCTGAGGGGATTGTGGCTCTACGGAAACCGCTTTGACACCTTCCCAAAAGTCCTTCTTCGAATGAAGTCCTTGGAGATCCTAGACCTGGACCGCAACAAGATATCAGAAATTCCCAGCCTGAAGCGTCTCAGAGCCCTGCGCCTTTTCTCCTATGACCACAACCCAGTCAAGGAACCTCCTATAGTAGGTGAAGACGCTGTCTTGGTTGGGGAGGGAGCTGCAGAGTTTTTGGAGGTGCGTGAGGCCAGGAAGGAGAGACGACGAAAGGCAGCAGAGAAAGAGGCAGAAGAGCTGGCACTTGCAGGAGAGGAGCCAGTGATTCATGGCATCCTCAAGAACAGTAGCTCAAAGCAAGCACCAAATGAAGCTGCAGTGACCATAGAGGACACAGATGTTAAAGAGGAAGAGCTTCTGGTGAAGGAGGAAGAAGTGGAGGATGAAGTGGAGGAAGAGGAAGGAGGGTATGTGGAGCCTCCAATAAACGAGTATGGCGGGACTGAGCTCGAATATGACGAAGAGGCGGTCGAATATGAGACAGAGGAGCTGATATGTGAGGGAGAAGGGTTTGAGTTTGAGGGAGAGGAGCTAGAGTATGAGAGGGCTGAGATGGACTATGAGGATGTGGAGGAGTTGGATGACACAGGGAGACAAGATGAAGGGGCGTGAAAGGCCCCTCCAAGATCCAGATGATCTGCAGGACAAGCTGGACATGAATGACAGGAAATCCTGCAGATACAGTTGATGTTTTGGGACTTTTTTGTGTAGCTGTGCTGCTAATTTAAAACCTGTTGTTTGCTGTGAATATAAATGAGCCGGGCATTATGTGTCTAAAAATTAACAACATCTCACTCATCTCCATATGATCAGATCAGAGCTGGACTCAGGTAAAGAGAGAGTGTGTGTGTGTGTACAGTGTGTGTAGTTGTTTTACAATAAAACTACTTGCAGTGGGCATAGGAGACCAAGTTTCCCGTTATTAAATAATTACCCGTCTGATTATGTCAGTCACTTGTGGGAATTTATTTCTTAATTGTGAAGCGGTGAAACCACTAGCCACCGCTTGCTTCACTGACACAATTTAACATTTCTGTTACATCATCATCAGTGTCTGTTTTATGTGCTCGACAGTGCACCTCATCTTGGTTCATCACTATTTCTATAAACCGAGACTGTCTGTGCGTGCAAATGGACGTACTGGACTTGGATATACAAAATATTTATGACATGCTAAACAAACCCCCCCCCCCCCCCCCCCAACTCTTGTCAGTGTTGTGTAAGCATTCCTGTGAGTGTCAGTGCCCAGAACGAACGAGAGACGAGCGGGATTATTACAGCGATGAATAGCTGGGGTGCCTCACCATAAAAGGGAAGTCCATGGGGAGGGAACATGAAATAGACTTGACTCCCCCACCACCAATCAAAAGCCCCCCTGCAGGTCAGGTGAAGGCTCGGGTGACCTTTGTGTACTCCTTTTTGTCTGTGACTACACCTTTTCTATCTTTGTCTCTAGCATGGAGCAGGCCAGGCCCTTGTTCTCCTCTCATCTCTGCACTCATTATTCATGTGGGGCACGAGTGTAATCCAATCCTCTTTCCCTCCACGTATCTTTTTCTCACATCTCATTGAAAGAGTGAAATATTTATCCCAACACTAAAATATTAATGCTTGCACTCATGAGGCAGAGCGTGTCAACTCGTGTGTCTACGCTCGGGAACAGACTCAGACTCACCACTCTAATTTTAGATTTGTTTCTACACGGAAAACCACACATAATACATATTATAAATGCAGGGCAGCAGTTGATAGATATTTTTACTACTGTTTAGCTGTTTTGGTAAATATTATACAGTTTTTTTTGGTCGCTATCAAGAAAGGTAGAGTCCCCCAAGCTTTCCTCTCATTACATCCGAGAGAGGGCAAAAGGTTTTAACATCCAGCCTTTTATGTTTAAAATGATACAGAGTGCTATAACAGAGCTTAGTATGTCCTTTTGTTAATAGAAAAATCATCTTTATTCTTAATTAATATATTAAAAAAAGCCTGATTAATATGTTAAATGAGAAATATAGTTTGAATCATGGAAATGTTTGTTTTAATGCCTGGATTGTGTGTGCAAAGACATCACTTTTGAGCAAAACTAAAAAATAACCAAACAAAAACACACATTTGGTTCCAACTTCTTGACTTGAACTTGAATTACTATTACATGTGTTAATTTACATCATGTAAGTGATGTTTCAGCTCTTGTTTGGTCACTTCCTTTACTTCTAATAATAACAAAGCTGTGCGTGCAGCTATGCTATGAGGCCAGCTGACTCACAGCATCATTGCTAACATGCTGATATTGAGAGGTAGCATTGTTTATAGCGTTAACTCGTCTTAGTCCAGCTTTTTGGATTGCTAACATTTCCTTTTCTCTAAACCAATTATAGCTAAAACTAACAAAATGTAGATTTTGAACAAAACAAAACTGATCTGATGAAAATCTTAAGGGGTCTCCAAAATCAGTCAAAGTCATCCTCTGGGGAAATTTTATGTATAAAAACCTCCTGGCAGTTAATCAAATAGTTAATTCAGTCCAGACTACATCACTGGAGAAACCAACAGACTGACATTGCCTGTCTTGCATCACTGTGGCTGACATACACACTCACTGGATCCTAATGTTTGCCAGTATCTCACTTTTGCCTTCAGATCTGCCTTAATTATTTGTGGCATAGTTTTAACAAGGTACTGGAAACATTCATTTCAGATTGTGGTCCATATTAACATGACAGGATCACATTTGCTACAAATTTACAAATCTTCTAATCTTCTAACAGATTCCAAAGGTGCTCTACTAGATTGAGATCTTCAACTATGGAGACTATTTGAAGACAGTGAATTCATTGTCGCGTTCAACAAACCAGTTCGAAATGTCAGCTTTGTGACATGGCACATGATATCCTGCTGGAAGCATCATCAGAAGATGGGAACACTGTGATCATAAAGGGATGGACATGGTCAGCAACAATACTCACGTGGGAGGTGGTGTTTAAAGAATGCTCAACTGATACTTAGGGACCTAACATGAGCCAAGAAAATGTCTTTCCCACCATTACACCACCAGCCTGAACCACTGATACAAGGCAGGATGGTTCCATGCTTCGGCTTTACCATCCCAGCATAACAGTCGAATCTAAACTCAAACTAGGCAAAGGTTTCTAATCTTCTATTGCCTAGTTTTGGTGAGAGAGCTTCTTGCTGCCATGTGACACACCACACATTCAAAGATTCTCTTTTGCATATCTTGGTTGTAACGAGTGGTTATTTGAGTTAGTGTTGCATTTATAAGAGCTTGAAGCAGTCTAGCCATTCTTCTGATCTCTGGCATCAACAAGGCGTTTTTACCCAGACGAGCTGCATGTGATTGACTAACTAGATAAGCACATCTCTCCAACTGACTGATAATGCAATCACTGGCGTGCACAGATAGAGACGAGGTGGTGCTGAAGCACTTGCCCTTTTGCCCTCAGTCCAAAAAAGTGCCCTTTTGAAAGACGTGATTTTTTTTTTTTAAAGCTGCGTGTGAAAATAATGGCTTGATTTGTGCCCCTTCTTCAAAGACACCCGAACCCTGTCGCTTTTTCACTGTCACCGTGTCACGTGAACACGCTTGCAGTTCATTTGTTGTGAGGCGTGTAGCAGCGGCATGACATAGGACTACTTGGAGTAGGCATAGTAGGCTAACTATAGCGACTGGGAGCCACGGCGGACAACACGGCAGCTCTTTCCCTTCCCAACCAGTCAGGTAACCCATGAATCGAGTGAAATTATTCTGTTTGCCCTCTAAGACCAACCTGCAATTGTTTTGTTGTGAAGTAGCCTGTCAGAAACTGCACATGACAAACTTTGCCAGCTTGCCCCCTCCATCCATCCATATGGATAAACAAAAAAACGACACATTTAAAATGTAACCTAAACCATTTAGGCAACCCCCACTCTCCATCAATTCCGACCTGATTGTGACAGAACAGTGATGTTGTTATTGGTAGTTTGAAGGGTACGGTGTTGGGGGTGGTGCATGTTAAAAGTTTTGAGAAGCACTGGTTAGACATGTTAATTTTTTTTGGTGTAACATATTGGCAACATTAACACATTAATTTGCTAAAGGAAAAATAGGCAGTTCCCAATTGCCTGTGATGACCACAGTCAGTCTTATTCGTTCTCATACATTTTGGTCTATTTATTTACTAATTTCAGCAAGCATAATGCCTAGGAAAGAGAGGCTGAGAAAGGAGAAAGAAAGGGATCTACAACAGGCAGCCCAGGGAAGCAGTTCTCTGCTCTCCTGGATGAAAGCAAAGGAAAATGAAGATGAAAGGTCAGAGTCAAGGGCAGAGTCAGGTTCTATTTTAATGTTTTAATGTAACCTGCTCCTTGCAGTTAATTCTATTGAAAAATCTTAAAAGCTGTTCACACTTAGTTTTTAATGAACTTAATCAGCAGGCATTGAGCTAACTATTATTTTGTACCTACGAAAGTTATTTCTATGTTACAAGACTTGCAGTATGGGTTATTATTAAAACTTCAATGTGCTGCAATGTGGGCCCATGTCAGCCTGATATACCTTACCCAAAAACTGAGGGGAGATCATTCCAGAAACAGTGGTTTTCTGCTAATGTGTGGCTGGAATACTCACCCACTGCTAATTCAATGCATTGTTTTAGTTGTCGGCTTTTCCTCTCGGATGAAAAATATAAAAGCAGAACAGCCTGGACAACTGATGGCATCAGAAAGTGGAGTACTGCTCTTGAAAAAATCAAACAACACTCCAGCGCAGAGATGCACATGACAAGCATGGTTAGATGGATCAATTTCCAGAAAAAGGCCCTTCAGTCTGCATTTGATGTTTCAGACGTAAAAGGGGTGGAAGTTAGAGAGCGAGAGAGGCAGACAAACAAAGAAATCCTGACAAGATTAATTGACCTAACAGTGTATCTTGCACGTCAGGGACAAGCATTCCGAGGTCATGATGAGAGTGAGTCCAGTGATAACCGTGGCAATTTTCGTGAATTAGTCAATGTATTTTCCCGCTACGATAGTGTGCTGAAAATGCATTTGGAAAAAATTGCCACAGTTAAAGCCACCAAGACAAGGCCCCAGGGGTCACTGCTTTCCAACTGAAGTCAAAATGACATCATTGCAGCACTAGGAACTTACATCAGGAAGGAGATACAACGTGAAATAAAAGAGGCTGAAATGTATTCCATTCTACTTAATGAAACCTCTGATGTTTCACACAAAGAGCAAGTGTCATTTGTTATGCGATATTTTCATCATATGCAAATAAAGGAGAGATTCATCGAAGTGTGCAATGTTGATACAACTACAGGCCAGGAGCTGGAGAATACAGTGTTCTTGCTTCTGCAAAAGAATGGCCTAGAGATGAAGAACATGTATGGTCAAGGCTATGATGGAGCAGCCAACATGAGTGGCACGTATAAAGGTCTCCAAGCTAGAATCCGTGCACACAATGAGAAGGCCCTCTATGTGCACTTCAAAGCCCATTGCCTCAATTTGGTACTAGTGGAGGCATCAAAGTCCAGCAAGCATTTTGTGACATTTTTCAACTTGGTGGAGAAATTGTATGCCTTTTGCTCAGGCTCCCCAAAGCGTCATGCTGCCTTGGTCAAATTTCAGGAGTCTCTCTTTCCTGGACAACGTGTTATGGAGCTCCAGCAGCTGTCAGATACTCGATGGGCTTGCAGGGAAAAAGCACTGAAGGCACTTCAGAGAAATTTGAAAGCCATTTTGATGCCCCTTGATGACATCAGTGACAGTGACCCACCTAACCTGGCCCAAGGTGATGCTCAGATGTACAGAAATGCCATTAATTTTATGTTCATTCTCTGCATGGAAATCACCACACCAGTATTCGAAGTCACTGCTTTGGCATCAGATTCTCTGCAGGAAGAAGGGTT